CCGGGAAATTCAAATCCCGGGCTTCATTAGCAAGTGCGGTATGCATACATTACCCCGCTAGTTCGAACTAGCGGGGTAGTGTAGACATACCCTCTGTAACAGGAAAAATAAATAGTCTATTAGCACCTCAAAGACTAAATAGTTAAAAGAGGCTTATAAGAACCATTAGTTTGCACTAGGAAAGGAAGAGTACTAACACCAGATTCTACACAGACATCAAGAACCGTTGACACTTTCATTGGTTGGCTGGTTGATAATGAGCGAGCCATCCATAACGCAATTTAAACCATTTGCATGCGAGTTAAACTTGAGAATGAAGTGAAGTTCCAATCCTTCTCAGTGTATTTGCCTTGTGGAATTGGTCTGAAACAAAACAGCAACTTGTAGATCTCTAATGAGTGTCCAGGGTCCAGGCTGATTAAAGTGTTCCCCAACAGGTTTTTATGTGTTGCCTTTTCGGATATCTGATTTGTATCCATTAATTCTTTCCTCTAGGGACTGTCCAGTTTGTCCAATATATATCACAGTGGGGCATTGCTGGCATAGATCACATCACTGGATGTGCAGTTAAATGAGCCTCTGATTTGGTGGCTGATGTGGTTGGGTCCAATGATGAAATTGCTAGTGTAGATGTGTGGTTAGAGTTGGCACCAGGGTTGATTGCAGGGGTTGGTTCCTGCATGCTTATGATGTAACTATGTAGCGTGGTTACTGGAAAGGATTTGTTTCAGGTTAGGGGGTTGTCTGTAAGCGAGAATAGACCTTTCCCTCAAGGCCTCTGAGAGTGAGGGGTCATTTTCCAAGAGAGGCTGTAGATGGTGGATAATGCATTGGAGGGGTTTGAGTTGTGGACTGTAGGGCTATGTCTACATTGGCCCCTTCTCCGGAAGAGGCATGTTAATTTCCAACTTCAGAATAGGGAAATCCGTGGGGGATTTAAATATCCCCCGCGGGATTTAAATAAACATGGCCGCCGCTTTTTTTCCGGCTTGGGGTTTTCCAAGAGAGGCTGTAGATGGTGGATAATGCATTGGAGGGGTTTGAGTTGTGGACTGTAGGGCTATGTCTACATTGGCCCCTTCTCCGGAAGAGGCATGTTAATTTCCAACTTCAGAATAGGGAAATCCGTGGGGGATTTAAATATCCCCCGCGGGATTTAAATAAACATGGCCGCCGCTTTTTTTCCGGCTTGGGGAAAAGCCGGAAAAAAGCGTCTAGACTGGCGCGATCCTCCTGAATAAAGCCCTTTTCCGGAGGATCTGTTACTCCTACTTCGAAGTAGGAATAAGAGATCCTCCGGAAAAGGGCTTTATTCCAGAGGATCGCACCAGTCTAGACGCTTTTTTCCGGCTTTTCCCCAAGCTGGGAAAAAAGCGGCGGCCATGTTTATTTAAATCCCGCGGGGGGTATTTAAATCCCCCGCGGATTTCCCTATTCTGAAGTTGGAAATTAACATGCCTCTTCCGGAGAAGGGGCCAATGTAGACATAGCCTAGGTGATTACAAGTGGAATTCTGTTTTCTCTTTTGGGTCTGTCTTGAAGTAATTCATGTCTGGATACTTTTCTGGCTCTGTCAATCTATTTTTTCACTTCATCAGGTGGGTATTTCAGTTTTAGGAATACTCTATATAGATCCTTTAGGTTTTGTCTCTGTGGGATTGGAGCAAATCCTGTTGTATCTTAGGGCTTGGCTGTATACAATAGATTGAGAAATGTGTCTGGGATGGAAGCTAGAGGCATGAAGGAAAGTGTAGCAGTTGGTAGGTTTCCGGTATAGGGTGGTGGAAATGTGTACATCATTAGTTCTTGATGGGCATTGTTATTGCTGTGGCGGGCTTAGCTCATCAGGGGAGTGGCTAAGTCAGCAGGGGCTCCAGTGAGTTAATGATAGTTCCCGATGCATTCTAAGTAGTGATCTTTTGGTCAAGAATCGCTGGATTCTAGAAATGTTAAGCATGTTTGTTCAGACTCTGAATTCTTAAGTATAGAAAAATAGATCCCAGGCAATCTCCACATAGGAAAGCGGATTAAACTCATGGATTTGTTTTCAAGTAACTACTGATTTTTGGGGTCTCCATTTTTGTGTGTCCATCTTTGAGACACCTTAAAGAGGCTTGATTTTTTTTTTTTTTTTTTTTTAAGAGACGATGCTGCTAGCACTTTGAGAATATCAGACACCTTTTAGGTGTGTCTGACTGGATGTCCAAAAACTTGAGGTACCCAAAATCACTAGTCATTTGAAAATATACACTTCTAGGTTTTGTTTTTCATACAGATCCTCTCTTGACAAAGCTGCAAGCAGAAGCTTTTTTTCCATTAGTATCAAAACTAATCTACAGGGTCCTACTTTGTGGTGATTTCCATATTTGAGGGCAACATTTTCAGTAGTTGCTGAAATGGTTTCTTGAGTGTGTTCAAGTTACTTATATTTCTGTCAGTCTTTCATTACTTTGTTTTGTTTTGAAACCAAACAAAGGCTTCCCTTGAAGCCTAGTAAATTGTATCCTTTCCCAGGGATTATTTTAATACCAGATTCCAGGTATTTTTGAACAGATTAACAGCAAAATATCTATTTTTTGCAATGGGAAAAGTGCCCTTTAAAAAATTCTTCCATAGGAAAAAATGGCTGAAGGGATTTTACTTTAACTTTATGTATGCTATAGCCTATCAAGTTACTTTCCTATCACGCTAATAATGTTTGTGTTAATTTAGATTAATTTGGTAATAATTAAAAACTGTAATGCAAGACATTTTCTAAAAGCTGCTCTCAGCATTCCCATAGGCCCTTTGTGTTAGCTTGACTGATGTCTGGGTTCAGGTGTAATACAGTAGGCCTTATGTCTGCCCAAGTTTGTGAAGGCCCACTGAATACTTACACAGCAACACTCAACTCCTTGGGGGTTACAGGTCCGTGCCCTTTCCTAGCTGGGGCCAAGACATGTTGGTATATAAGAGTCTAGCAAAAGCCCCAAATTAGTGGTCCTGCTGCTTGTACCTGTCTGTGGGCATATGCTGCTTGCCTTCTCCCCACAAAGCCAACCACAAGTCTGTTGGTGGGGTGCACTGACTGGGCTGTGTGGCAGTCCAGATGCCATTAGGTATAGGAGCAGCATGGGTGCAGTACAGCCAGGGCCGGCCCAAGACCTTATGGTGCCCCAGGGTGTGCGGGCCCGCCCCCATGGCACATGGCGCATGCACTGCCCAGCCCAGCCCGGCCGGGTCAGCGCTGCTGGCGCGCGTGCTGGGCCGTGCAGAGCCCCGCGGCCGTGGGGGGAAGGACGCTGCTGTCTGGCGCCATGGGGTTGGCGCTGCAGGAGCCGGGCATGTGGTGCCTGATGGCAGCTGTAAGGGACGCCACGTGCCCCTTACAGCTGCCATCAGGCACCCCCTGTCGGTTGGTGCCCTGGGCAGCTGCCTGGCTCTCCCATGCCTCCGTCCGGCCCTGAGTACAGCCCAGCCCAGCCCTAGACTATGTGGTGAGTTGGGTTCCCCTGCAGTGCAGTGGCTCTTGCTCTAGGATATAACAAGATGGTGCAGCCTCTGAATACACTTTTCAGTGAGACCCATGTCTACATTACAACCAAATAAAGGGTAGGGTTGCACTTGAAAGAACGTACATAAGCTCACAGTCCAGGTCAAGTAATATGGGGTTATATTTTATCTTTTGTCCATGCTGCAACAGGCCGTTTGCAAGATCAGCAGAAGCTGAGGTTAGCAGATTTCCGTGGTTGCAGAATACCGGTCATAGCTTATTTCTGGTTTCCTGGGACTGAAAAGGGGAACTTAGATCTGGACCTTTAATCCACACAGGATGGTAGGAAAAATACCCTCAGGCTCAGCAGATGTATTATTATATAAAAGTCCCAAATAATTGGTCCAGGCTGAGTTGAGTAGATGACCACAGGTTGTGATAGATGACCACACAGGCCCATGGCAACGAATTGACATATATGATAATAAGTTAAGAGCAATGATATATTGACCAATAGGAAAAGAACACTTCAGCATTAGAAACATCCCCTACTGAATATGCATAAAACATGTTAGTAGCAGCGTCACTTAGTATAAAAGTGGGAACCCCTGCCAAGGGGTGATGGGGAGGAGAAAATGTTGTCCTCAGAAGGGCCAGAATGATGTCCCCTGGTGATGGGGAAGGTGAAGATAATGAGAGAGATGATGGGCTAACTACTAAGATTGTTCTAGAAGGAATAGTATAAGTCTATGGTAAGGAAATATGGATGTACATTCCCTATCTTATAAAATTGAGGTGTTTGTGACTATTAATAAAGTATAAATATTGTAAATACACAAGAGTTTCTATAGTGTGAGTGTTGCAACCATGCACATCAGGGTTCTCAATTATAGCATAATTGAATACTGGGCCTGATCCTGGGACAAAGAAGCTGTCAACTCTAAAGATGGGTAATGAGAATTTAAATGTAATTTTAGATCAGGCTACAATTCCCACATGCACTCTCAAAAAATTATTTGGTCTGAGACCAAGCTTGGAAAATGTAAGTAAAGTAAATATTTCAGGAGGTTGTGAGCATGTGAAAAAAAGGAGGTTGGAATGGAAACTGCTATCCTTATTTAACTGTAGCTCTTTGCTACGTCTACTATCCTGCACCACAGTGGGGACTGCAAGGATGTGAATTGCAAAGCACCCCATAATTTCATGCTCTAAGTGCACTGTGTGAATGCTACTAGTAAACACTAAAAAGATCCCTGTTTTCAAACATGACTATGATAACACAAGGTAGGTAAGTTTTTAGTTTACACCAGCTGCATCCATGTAGGGCAGCTAAAGCATGACATTTTGATGTACTCTGCAATTCACAGCCCCATAGTCTTGCACTGTGGTGCAGTATAGACAACAAATCCTTGCATCGCAAAATGTTGCCCCCTCCTCCTATTGCCTACTGGAGGGAAGGTAAAGTGTAGAGGTTAGTTTTGGGGAATGCCTGTTGAATTTACAGCAAACACTGAAATTGCTGGTCATTTGCTTTTGCTTGCTTGGTGTTTGTCCAACCAGCTCCATGTTAAGGTTGGAGAATTTAGGATAGTGATAGCACTCATTGGCCATTTCCTAATTTGAAATTCTATCATGGTGGTTCTGACGTGCACTTACGATATGTTACAAAGCACTTTGGAGAGAAAGTGGGGAAAAGAGGAGTCTACCAAATCCAATTGTATTGATGTAGCATGTTCTACTGAGACGCTGATATAGGAGTAAGCAGGAAGTTTGTATTAGAACAGATCTAAATCAGGGAATCCTGCACCTGTTACAACTTAATACAAACTGGTTATTTGTTATCAGTGTGAGATTAGAACAAAACCAAAGATAAAGCAGGTTGCCAAAGTAAATTGGACATAGAACAATAATTGCTTTTGTCATGGATTTTATGTAGTTTATTTAATAAAATACTGAATGAGATGACTGCTGTTTCTTTTTTATATATACACATACACACACATACTGAGGTCATTTTGCTGGTTACTATAGGATATTTGTAGTCAACTTCTTTGCTTAACAGAGCATTCACGTTCCTCACCTCATTGCTTTTGGGAAGTGAGAGGCTAACATGTCTTTCCTTCTCCGTGGGAGCTCCTCTGTGTGTGCTCCCCCTCTTCTAGAACATGCCCACCCAGTCTGAAACAGACATTAACACTCATCTGGTACTAGACTGGTTGAGGTGGCCAATCCATTTCTGACACTGAAGAAGAGTAGCACTGGGTCCCACAGCTGGGTTGGAAAGTAGCTTCTGAAACTGGAAGTCTTGTGCATGCCATAGGTAAAAACTCATTCAACCACCAATGTTCTCTCTTGAGTGCAGGGATGAACAAAGTGTGATCCACAGGGATCCCAGAAATTGGTTTTCAGAAAAATGCAGAATTTGGGGTTTTACAGAGACCCTTCAGTTTTTACATTTTGTGAAAAAGTAAAAACATTAACCAGCTACATTTTGCACTTTCAGCCCATGTCACTAGTCAAGTAAAAACATTAACCAGCTACATTTTGCTGAAAGTGCCCATGTCGCTAGTCGGTGCACATAGCCTCCCCCACTTGTGGTTGATTTTTTTTTAATGGGCTTTAAATGTATATAGCTAATCATATTCCAATAAACTGCTTCCAATATATGGAGGTTATTAATGGCACCTAGGGGCTCATGCTTTCATACATCTCAAACTTCACATCAGCCTCCAGATGTGAGTAAAATTATGAAAAGATGCTGACAACTTTAAAAACCAACCCTAAAGATCATGTCACTGAGTCTGGCAAGGAGAAATTTAATGTTGATGGTGATGTGCTGTGCTTTTCTGTACCATATTTAGCAAGGCTGTAGATTATACTTGGAGGCAAACAATTGTGGAACACATGGAAAGGGCTAAGCATAAATTGAATGAAGACAAATGAACACACGAGTTTGAAAGAGCAGGGCCCTCAGCGGCAGTAAAGAAAGAATTCACCGTGACTGGATGATTCCAGCATTTTACAACTTTAAATATATCAAAACATTGTGATCAACTGATACCTCTGTATCGTGTCAGAGGAAAAAGTGGAAAATAAGAAAATAACCATTGAAACTGATCGCATTCCTGACTTTATAATTAATCCACTAGCAAACTGGAAACCCCAATGATTAAAAATTGGCATGTCATGTTGCTTGGCTACATTTTAAGAATATCAGTATCAATCTTGCAAGGCAGGATTTTTGTTTGATTTATATCATTGTACCATGCCTCTGAGTAAAAGTGAAATACGAAATTACCTACAGTCTCCATGATTTAGGATCTGTTTTGTTCTTTCTCCTTATGTTCCAGATATCTGACAAGTATGATGTTCCTTTTGATAAAATTGGAAAAATCTTCAAGAAATGTAAAAAAGGGTGAGTATGTTTCAAGTCGTATCTACAGCAGCTTTCACTGAGCAGCTTGAGTCTTGCACTATAAAGCGAAGGCATGTTTTCCAACCTTTTAATCATTCACATGGCTCTTCTGTGAACCCTCTTTAATTTCTTTAAATTTGTGTTGAATTATGGACACCAGAACTAGACCCAGTAGTCAGTCCTTTAATTGTGCACAGCTTTGGAATGTGTTATAAAGACCTATGCTCATAGGAATCGAAGTACTAAAGCAAGACCACCTGGGAAAACTCTGATTTAAGTCTTGTGCTTTGCTAACTAAACCATCTCTTAGGGCAGTTCAATTTAGGCAGGTGTCCATATCCATAGAGACCATTTCAGCAAAAAGAAAATGGTCAGCTGTGTCCTGATTGCAGCAATTGAACCGCCATCCTCGTTGTTTTGCTGTCACGTACAAAGTGGTCAGGTTGTGTGCAGTGGGGTAGCTGTGTTAACTGGCCATTTCACCTTGAATGGTCCCTTGAAATGTGTGTTCGCTACTTATGCCAAACAGCCTGTTCCTCTGTGTATCTAGCTGTGACACGCTGGGTATGTCTAAAGAAAAACCTATATCTGGCTAAGGTTTGCTGGGCTGGGGTTGTATTGAAGAACAAGTCATGCCAAACTAATCTGATAGCTTTCTTTGATAGGTTAACGAGCCTTGTGGATAAGGGAGAAGCGGTGGATGTCATATACCTAGACTTTAGTAAGGCATTTGATACGGTCTCGCATGATATTCTTATTGATAAACTAGGCAAATATAACTTAGATAGGGCCACGATAAGGTGGGTGCATAATTGGCTGGATAACCATAGTCAGAGAGTTGTTGTTAACGGTGCCAAATCCTGCTGGAAAGGGATAACAAGTGGAGTTCCTCAAGGGTCTGTTTTGGGACCCGTACTGTTCAATATCTTCATCAATGATATAGATATTGGGATAGAGAGTACGCTTATTAAGTTTGCAGATGATACCAAACTGGGTGGGGTTGCAACTTCTTTGGAGGATAGGGACATAATTCAAAATGACCTTAGCAAGTTAGAGAAATGGTCAGAGGTAAACAGGATGAAGTTTAATAAAGAGAAATGCAAAGTGCTCCACTTAGGAAGGAACAATCAGTTCCATACATACAAGATGGGAAGCGACTGTCTAGGAAGGAGCATGGCGGAAAGGGATCTAGGGGTCATAGTGGACCACAAGTTGAATATGAGTCAACAGTGTGATGCTGTTGCAAAAAAAGCAAATATGATTCTAGGTTGTATCAACAGGTGTGTTGTAAGCAAAACTCGTGAAGTCATTCTGCCGCTTTACTCTGCACTAGTTAGGCCTCAGCTGGAGTACTGTGTCCAGTTCTGGGCGCCACATTTCAAGAAAGATGTGGAGAAATTGGAAAGGGTGCAGAGAAGAGCGACAAGAATGATTAAAGGTTTAGAGAACATGACCTATGAAGCCAGGCTTCATGAACGGGGCTTGTTTAGTTTGGAAAAAAGAAGATTAAGGGGGGACATGATAGCGGTTTTCAAATATCTAAAAGGGTGTCACAAGGAGGAAGGAGAAAATTTGTTCCTCTTGGTTTCTGAGGACAGGACAAGGAGTAATGGGCTTAAAGTGCAGCAAGGGAGGTTTAGATTGGACATTAGGAAAAAATTCCTAACTGTCAGGGTGGTCAAATATTGGAATAAATTGCCAAGGGAGGTGGTGGACTCTCCCTCTCTGGAGATATTTAAGAACAGGTTAGATAGACATCTGTCAGGGATGGTGTAGGTGGAGCTTGGTCCTGCCTTGAGGGTGGGGGGCTGGACTTGATGACCTCTTGAGGTCCCTTCCAGTCCTATGATTCTACGATTGCTATAAGGCTGGAGCTTGAGCACTGGGATCCTCCCACCTCACAGGTTTTTGAAGTGTGGACTCCAGCCCAAGCCTAGATACCTGCATAGCAGTGAAATGGCTCTACAGCCCAAGTCTGCTGGTGTGGGCCAGCCATGGGTGTCTAGTTGCTGTGTAAACATACCCTCTGAATACCTTGCCCAGACCTGAAGAAAAGCTCTGTGTGGCTGCCTCACCACCAGAAGCTGTTTCAATAAGAGAGATTACTCCACCCACCTTA